ATATAACATGAAGAACAAACAAAAACTCTGTGAAGTCTTGGAAGAATTTTGATACTGTTTTTCTAAATATGTTTTATCAAATTAACCAAATAAACATGAAAGCAACTAAAAGCATTTTCATGCTGTTTTAACAGGTTTTGTCAGGTTTTTAGAAGGCTACTACATTGTGTTAATAACTAAAAGAAGAAAAATGGCAGATATTGGTGGTCATGCAATATATAAAATAGAAGATACAAATATGATCTACATTCCAAATGACTCTGTAAGAGTCAGTCATCCCGATGAAGCCAGGTAAATAATGGTGGTAATGTGTGTACTTTTTGAATATCTTCTAAGCAATGGTGAACTGCAGCTAGAAATTTCAGTCATGGATTCCCCTATATTAGCATGTTATTCAGGCCATTTTAGCTTATTTGAATGGGCTACAAGTTCTGTGGCCTCCAGCCTGAACAGTAAATACAACTGTTAAAATTTTCCAGGGCTTTTTGTCCACGTCTTCATGTCATGTCAGAGCTATCTCCATGAGATCTCATCTCCATGAGATCTCCATGACATGTCAGAGCTACAGCTTAGCAAATCTACACCAGAAAGCATCAAATATAAGCATTGCTCTTACAAGGGCAAAGTAATGCTAATACTGGTTTGCATTGTTTGAGGCACTGTTCATTTGTTAGTAGCTCTAGCATGATGTTAATCTCACCTGAAGAGAGCTTTTGTGCCCTTCAAAGAGTGCTGAATAGATTATGAAATGATTCTGGGCTGCCAGACTCTTGTTAATGTTGCTGTTGTAAAGGGTGATAAATTGACTGAATGGTAAGTTTTAACTGCTTCTTTCCTTTTGAGGTTATTTTTTTTTTCCTAAAGACAGAAATCTGAGCCTTTGATCGGCAGGGAACCTTGTTTGAAATGTACAGCTACATCCCAGTGGTGTTTTTATCAGGTTATGGTAACTTTACCTCTATGAAATACCAGGCAAATGGTATCAATAAACTTCTTTTCAGTCTGTGCCAATTGTCAGTAGTCAGAAAGTGATAGTTTATGATAAACTGTTGTCAGGCAATAAATCAAGCTAGTGGCAAATACAAAAAAAAAAATTTCCACTTTAAGTCAGGATTGATCATGAACCTCATTCTCCCCTCTTTATTTAATCCAGATGCTGCATTCTTGTAGAATTACTTGTCAAAACAGTTACAGTAAGATAGGAAGGGAACCTATGGTTAGAGTCAGTATTTATATGTAGTTTAAGTTTGAGATCCTCTGAATGACTTGTCTGTCTGATTAAACTAATAATTTTCCCTTTAACTTGAATTATTTTGCTAGGTATCTGAGAATCTTTCAAAATGTGGACCTTTCTAGCAACTTCTACTTTAGGTTGGTATAGTTACTATTACTTTAAAAAAAATGTCTACTTGCTATAAGATTGTAGTTTTTGCTTTTGATACCCAAGACCTTTAAGTTGATATTCTGGGGAAATTAGACACATGATCATGCTGCTTGTCCATTTTCATCTGTGTCTTTTGAACCTGCTTTCTCTTTCAGCCAATTGGTTAGGAATTTAGTCTCCATTAGTTTAAAAACTATAGAACTATTAGTGGTGTGGTAGAAATTAAACACTGAAATTGCTGTTTCCACTGACTGTTTGGTCTTGCCAGATTATGCAGAAATTCTCTCTGGAAAAGTACTATATTTCAGGGGTTTGCTTGTCCTTTTGTTTTTATTTTCTTGATCTCATTTTCCAGAAATGAAGCTTTGCCTTGGTTCAGAAACAAAAGACAGAGATACAGGTCCTCATCTAAGATATACCCTGTGTGAAGTGTCTTTCCTAGAGCACTCTAGGCATTAACAATTCTCTTGTGTATTGTTTCATATATGCCATGCCTAAGGCAAGTTCATGTGTCCCAACTACTATTGCACGAGATTTTTGGGACAGCAGAAAAATGAGGGAAAAGTGGTGTTAGACCTGGAAGTAGCAGTTAGAAGACTTGAAGACTTTAAAAAATTAAATCCTCTTGCAAGTACCAATAAACATTATCAGCCTACAAGAAAGTCCCTCTTGGAAAATAAAGGCTTCTTGTCACAGCTGAATCCGTGAACACAAACCATATGAAAGTTTCGTGTCTGTTTTGTGCTTTTGCATGGGAAGTCTTTTTCACAGTATAAAACCTCAGGTTTTCTTCCATGCTTTGCCTCCCAGCCCTAACATTACACTTCTCCCCCTCCTTGCTTGGAGATGATGAATTTTTTTGTTTCTGTGGTTGTCCATAGAGAAGGTTCTTATACAATTCTCTAATAAACATTTATCATGGAATGAATCACAGAATGGTCTGGGTTGGAAGGGACCTTAAAGATCATGTGATTGTATCCCCCTCCCATGGGTGGGGACACCTTCCACTAGATTAGCCCCACTGTCCCTGGCCTTGAGCACTGCCAGGGATGGGGCATCTGAACTTCTCTGGGCAGTCTGTTCCACTGTCTCACTACAGTCACAGTACAGAATCTCTACTCTAAATCTCTTTGCTTTTAATTTAAAACCATTCACCCTTGTGTTATCACTGTCTGTCTGTGTAAAAAGTCTCCCTCTTTTTAATAAGCCCCCTTAAGTACTGAAAGGCTGCAGTGAGGTTTCCCCAAAGACTTTTCTTCTCCAGGCTGAAACTGCAGAACTGAGATAAGCTACATACTTAAAGTTTCCTGTGCAGGAAAAAAAAGAGTGAATGACTTGTACAGAAGTATATTTTTGGCACAAATTAAACCTGTGTGGCATAAAATGAAAACTTTCTTACTGACAGATAATTTATTGTTTATGTTTTGGTTTTCATTTAAAAAGTCATTTCATAGAACTTTTTTATGATCTGTGTTTCAACTACATGTTTAGATTGCTTTTCACTTTTGAAAGGAGAAACTTAAGGTGATACTAATATTCTTTCTTATTGTTTAGAATATTTTTAATATATCAGCTTCATTTGAATTGTTCTTGGCTGAAATCATATACCATATTTTTATGCATGATTTTCATATAAATCCTGAACAAAATTAGAAGTTAGTTATAAGAAAACATTTGGTCTAAGGGGAAAGTGGACGAATAGACAAGTTATGTGTCTTACCGAGCTATTGTTTAAATTTGAGGACAGATACAGTTTTTGTGGAACAAGTTTTTGACTGTTTTGCTTTCAGGCAGCAGTTAGAGAGTAGCACTACTTAAATCTCAGAAAAATTAGGTTGTCTGTGTATATGGATATTTCTGGGGGAAATTTTTGGTCTTCTGGACTGCTTCTTGGGACAGGGTGAATTCAGTTTCTTGATATGCTTCGTTCAAAAGGCATGTTCAGTTATCAGTTAAAAGAAGAATATAAACATGTTTTCAGCTCTTGTGAGCTGTAAACAGTTTCTATGTTTGTAAAGCTTCTTTTGGAAATAGTCTGTGTGATTTGCCATTATAGAGTCAGAATCTGTGTATCTGGTTTAAAAGTCTTTTTAATGGATAAAATAGTGCTTTGTTAAATATAAGTACAGAGAGTAAGAGGGTCAGAAAATTCCTCTGCATCTGCAATTATTAACAAATGTTAACTGTCTATCAGTTACAGCTATGATCTGTCTCACTCCCTTCAGTATAATCTTACTGTCCTGAGAATGCCACTTGAGACATTAAAAACTGAAACAACTCAGACTCGTCAAGAGAGTTTTGATATATTTGAAGATGAAGGACTTTCCACACTGGGGGGAAGTGGTAAGAAAATGCACCTAATTAAAACTGCTGTTGTTGGTTGTGAGTACATTTAGAATGTGTTCCACTTAAGTTTTCTTTAGAGAAATGTTCAGGCCTTTTGTATAGGTCAGTAGTCTCCTAGGAGTTGTGAGTCAGTAAAAGATTTTGTAAAGTGCCAATTACAGATGTTTCAATTTGGACAATGTAATTTCTAGGGTTGTGTAATCATTGTTTTGTTAAGTTACATTGCAGCTCAGGGAGATGATTGAGCGTGCTGACATTTTTCAACAATTGATTATTCAGCTGACTTGTAAGTCTCCCAATAGGAGTGAGAGTGGGGAGAAGTAACTGATTAAGCACATATAAATCTTGTTTGTTTCATGTCAGAGAATACCGACACCAGAGGAGTTATATGAAGTTAGTATCATCTCCATGTACTAAACCCTGTCAGGAAGTGTGAGAAAAATTACTGATTTCAGTTGAAAACTACAGCCTTCATTTTGAATCTAATGTATTTATAGGAGTATAAAAATGACCAGAGAGAAAAACTATTTTCTCTCCCTTTTCCTTGTACACACACACACACAAAAGTTTCCCCTGAAGTTCTTAATAATGGATTTCATTCTGTTGAAAGGAACCTCCACCCCTCCAAGAAAAAGGTACTAGTAATATGGTCATATAAATCAAGATATCAGGAATGGGTTATCACATACTACGATGTCAGAAAGGACCATAAGGAGTGAAGGGAGCAATAATTCTTCCTCTGCAAAGACTCTTACCTGCATGATCCCTCAGGAATCCCTATACTGGCATCATCTCTTCTATGTCTGTGTGAAAACATTGGGAAATTACTGCCCTAATGTTGACCCCATCAGCACTGGGTGCTAGTCATGTATCTGTTCATAGAATGTGTGTAAGAAGTAGCCTCCTGTCACTCAAGAACAAACTCTCTCCAAAGTAATGGTGCTAGCAATAAGAGGGCAAATTGCTGACTAAGTGCTTGTGACCAGGTTCTGCTGAAGGTGTGAACTCCTTCATCCAAATATTTTGTTTACATCAATTTTCCCTGGGCTTATGTCAAGTTGGGTGGCTAGGTAGCAACAGTTTGTCCAACAGCTGCATTTTCACCCACAGTCTGTTAGGAGAACTCCATTTTTTCCTTGTCCAGAACATTTGACTGCTATAGTTGACATACACACTGCTGTGATATAATTCATCCTGCCAGAAACTTCATGTGGAAAAAGTACGCAAAAAATGGTGGTGGTGGTGATAGAGTTCTTGTACTCAGTCTTCTTTGTAAGTTTCAGATTCATTCAATTCTCTTCACCACCTTTCAGTAAACAGTTGTCATCTTGGTCCTGATTTTTGAAACAGAAAAACACTCAGGTTCCAGATAAATCAGAACCTAACTTAATTCTCATGTCTAAAATAGCTACATTTCTTGGTGTTAGTGCAAATTAGGAAAATTACACTAAATTATGTGAAAAGGGATTGATGTGCTTTTTGTCAAAGGGGACAGGGCCGTGCATGATCTTCCAGAGCCTAGTAGGTAACTCCAGAGGTGACTCAGAAGTGAAAAGCTTATAAAGTCCTCCCATGCGTTTTTGCCTTACTGGAATTCACAACTTGATCTGTTTCCCTTGTTACCAAATCCCTTGCTGCTACCCTGCAGAGATCTCTTTTCAGTACTGAAATATCAGTAATTTCTGCATGAAGGCGCTCAACGCCTGCAGTGACTGGCAACCATAGGAAAACTGCAAATCCTCACCAGTGCCAGACTTCAGCATGTGCCTGAAGTTTTCTGTGTTTGGCAAACTGCAAGAACATGAGGAAATGATACACTGAGTTACAGTCAAGGGAAAATCAGAATAAAGATCCAATCACCCTGATTTTAAAACTGTCCAGTGCAGGTAAACTTGCCTCTGAATTGCTAATGCCTTTTCATTGTAACAACTTCCCAGGTGTATTTGGGATTTGCAGTAGGCCCTACGAAAAGTATGTGTGGAATGGCAAACTTCTGGAGGCAGTGAGGAGCACAGTGCATCGTGACTGGCTGCTGTATATTATTCATGGCTTCTGTGGGCAATCCAGTATCCTTTTGCTGTTGTAATGAGTGTTGATTTATCAATTTTTTTAACAAAAAGTTTGAACATTGAATTTTTTCTTTGTCATATAAACACCTTTCAGTTTTAGAATTACTGTTTGGCTTTTATTTTTGTTGCTTTTCTTGGTTTTATGCTGAATAAGAAATATGGTTACTGTTTTATAGCAGGGCCCTGACAACAGGTAGGCTGTGTTCTCAGAGAGGCTCTGTTTATAAGCATGGGATTTGGCAGTAAAGAACTTGAGAGGATTTTAAGGCTCAGCTGTGGTTTATTACAGATATTAAAGTAAAGGAAGAAAAGCTAAACTACTGAATTGCTGCCGCAGGAATTTTCTCTTACTAATCTTCATTAAAATGTATTTTAGTAACTGAGATTTGCAGAAGTTCTTCTATTTACTGTGTTTCTCTTGAAGATGATGGCAGAACTTCAGGCCTGCTGTGTGAAGAGAGTTAACATCAGAACATCTGAAGAACTGTTTTCTTGAATATGTATTGTTTAAAACAGTTAAATGGGAGGAGGAGGGGGAAAATGTAATGTGATAAGAATGTAATATATTACACAGACAGAACCTAGACAGAAAACTCGATCTGTTTTTATGTACCACTATTTCATTTGTGGTCTTACTTAATCAAAGTAGTAGCTGTGAATCTGACCAGCAGGATTGTGCCTGCAACTGCTTAGTGTGTGAGGAAATGTCTACTTTCCTCTTCCCTGTGCCTCCCTTGCACTAAGGAAACAGTGACAGTCATGCTAGGCATCTCATTCTATCCTTTTGTTTTTAGTAAAACAGGGAGAGGACTAGAGGGAATGGTCATAAGCTAAGACAGGGGAGATTCAGAATAGATGTTAGGAAACTTTTTGCCCTGTTAGGGTGGTCAGACGCTGGAATAGGTTGCCCAGGGAGGTGGTGCAGTCACCATCCCTGGAAGTGTTGAAGAGGCGTCTGAATCTGACACTGGAGGACATGGATGAGGGTTTACAGCAGAGTGTCAGGTTGATGGTTGGACTGGATGATCTTAGAGGTCTCCTCCAACCTTGATGATTTATGGAAAAGCTATGATCTATGGAAAGCTTATAAGCAAGGCACCACTGCATCTGTAGCCTGTTTGCCTCTGGCTTTCAGCTGTTGTTACTTAAGTAGTTACAAATTTATCTATTTCTCTACACAAGTAATGAGAGGGTGACTAATACACCTGATCTGAAAAGAGGAGCTCCCAAGCTTTAATCCCAGTATTCACAAAAGCAGTATCTGCAATACAAGGCGAATCTTGTGCCTGTTTCACCTTCATTGTCACTTCATAAAATAGAAATGCTTCTCTTCTGTATGTTGTGAGAAGTGATTTATGTATTGTAATGCAGATTCCCTTTCCAAAGTTCTTAAAACTGATTATTGAGAAGGGCAGTGCTCTCTCCCAGCTGGAAAATCAATTTGGAAGTGATACTCAGCACTGTTAGGCAATTTTAGTGTATCAGATATTTCAGTTTCATACACCTTTGTTAGAATTGATTTTTGTTTGCATAAAGTAAGGGATCAAAAAAAAAGTATGTAAACCTTAACTTCTCTTTCAAGAACTGTTAATATATGGTCGCCCTATATATGTCACTCTCATTGCCAGAAGATCAAGCAAATTTGCTGGAACACGTTTTCTGAAACGAGGAGCAAACTGTGAGGTAAATCAGAAATTATTTTAGGGGTTGCTTCCCCTTACCCCCCAGTGTGAAAGCTTGAGCTTGACTGACTGAAGAACTGAAATGGTTTAGAGGGTTGTCAGGGTTTTGGCTATAAACTGTACTATTAGAAAGTGTTATCACAGGTATCATTACAATAAAGTTGTTAAAATAATAAATGTAGTGATTCTTAACTGGCAATTGTTTTGGTTTTTTTACACTTAGAGATCATGTTATTTCCCAGAGTGAAAATATAAAAATCTAATAATATACATTTAGGGACGAATGGGAATTTAACCTTTGGTGTTGTTCTCACTTCTGTGATTTAGTGTCTTAGAGTTTAACTGTGCTTGCTTTGTAGTGATCAGTTCTCTGCAGTGCATGCAGCCCTCAAGTGTCTTGTCTGCATCATGTGTGTACTTCTGTTTGGTGTAGGGAGATGTTGCTAATGAAGTGGAAACGGAACAAATACTTTATGATGCTTCAGTTATGTCATTTTCCACGGGGAGTTACTCTTCCTACGTTCAGGTTCGAGGCTCTGTCCCTCTGTACTGGTCTCAAGATATTTCAACTATGATGCCTAAGCCACCCATAACATGTAGGTACAAATTATTCTTTGTGTTAGATTATGGTTAGTGCTGTGTCCTAAAGAGGCATCTGAGAGAATACATGAAAACTAAATTTGTAACAATGAATGCATTGCCCATGCCCTTGTGCTTTTTAGTCTTTGGGTAAAAAATGTAAGGAATAAAACCTTCATCTTAGACTTCACATTCAGAAATGGAGTATGAATAGTTTCTTTTTGAAGATGTGAGTTTCAGTTATGTTTATTTTGTGTACAAAGTTAGGTAAATTTATCTTTATATTGTGGATAAAATATTAAACCTGTTGAAAATGGTGGAAAATGTCTGGGCTAAGGTGAGTGGGACCAGGATGATTGTTCTTTGTAAGCATCTCTTGAAAGTTTAAGAAGTCACCTCCAATTTGGGAAAGGGAAACCTTTTTCTAACAGCTTTTGCATGAAAAGAGGGGAAGGTATGTAACTGTATCATTACTATCACAGAATTAAGTATGTATTTCTCGAAGAGTACTTTTAAGGGAGAATGATTTAAGTGACTCTGCAGTGTGATTAATATCATCCTGAGTGTGTATTTGTTGCAGTGGACCAAGCAGATCCTTTTGCACATGTTGCTGCTCTTCACTTTGACCAAATGCTTCAGAGATTTGGCTCTCCCATTATTATTTTGAATCTTGTGAAGGTACAATATTTTTTATGTTATGCTTATTTCTGTAGAGTCTCTGTAGTTTTGATTATGTTCTAAACTAATGCTAGCTTACAAATGGAATATTTTCTTCATAAATGTCATCCTGCATGGTGTAGTATATAACTCCACCTGCTTTCACTACAGTACTTCATAAAATGTTCCTCACATTTACAGACTTCTTCCAGTAACCTTTTACTGGTTTTTTTCAGGTTTGCTATTATCCTTTAGATGGGAGTCCAAATAAATTTACCACTAAATTTAAATTAGCACTAAAAATACTGAAATATTATGGTTCCATACAAAGTGAGGTTTGTAGATTTCTTGACACAAGTGGTCTCCTTACAATGGAGACTTATCTTCTGATGTTTGCGCTGTCTGGTAGAGTCATGGAAGTGTGAGTGGGAGAGAAAACCAAGACATCTGATGTTAGCTAACATGGTGGGAGCTCCACTGCAGTAATCGAATTCACTGCTGAGTGAGAGGCTGTGGTCCAAAGCCTGGAGTCTGGGTGGCTCTGAAATTTAGGTTATTGTATCTTCTATTTGTGTTGGAGTTATTTTTGGTTTGGGTTTTTTAATGTTCTAATCCAGCTGTTTTCTGTGGTCGTGTATGTTCCCACGTTTGAATTTAATTTGAATCATATCTTATATTTTTAGTCTTTAAAAAAATTAGTTTATCATATGAAACTGTCTTCAACTGGAAAAAGCATATTTTATGTGTGTGTAGGATGTGTTCCTAGTATAAAAATACAGTGAAAATACAAAAGGAAGGACTATAAAACTCTTTAAGTTGCAATAAGTGGCAACTAGATAACCTATTTTCAATTTCCAGCAGCTTTTCTGTGTAGGAGTGCTTTTAAGACTGTCCAAGAGTCTGTGGGATCAACTTAGGATACCATTTGTTGGCAAGAAATTTTTTTGTCTCCTGACACGTGAATCATTATCTGCTTTTACTCACAGGCTTTTGATGCAATGGCTGAAAATGCGTCTCTTTCTTTCCCTCTCAGTAGTTGCTTAATATTAAGATGCGAAAATTCATGTTTCTTTATTGTTTTATGTACTTCAAAAACAACAAAAAAGGAGGGTTGAGGGTAAGCCCCCAAATCTGAACACCTTTTTTTTTTATGTATGTTGCTGTTGCACAAATGCTAAGGGCTTCTCTCTCTTGTACTTTCATTATTTGATTTCCTAAAGGTTGATGAAATATAAATCTGTGCCCTCTTGTATCTTTAGGACTAGAGGGAATGGTCATAAGCTGAGACAGGTTCAGATCAGATTAAATGTTAGGAAAAATGTTTTCCCTGTTAGGGTATTCAGGCACTGGAATAGATTGCCCAGGGAGGTGGTGGAGTCACCGTCCCTGGAAGTGTTTAAGAGGTGTCTGGATCTGGTGCTGGAGGATATGGTTTAAGGGTTACAGCAGTGACAGGTTAATGGTTGGACTCGATGATCTTAGAGGTCTCCTGCAACCTTGATGATTCTGTGATTCTATGATATCTGTCTCTTCTAGAAGCTTGTTAATTAGTAATGAATATATTAGGCTTCTTTTGGATTTCTTTATTTGGGAGTGCTGTTTACAAGGTAAAACAGTTTCTGTAGCATAGGTGCAGTATAGGTTTTAGTTTGGGTGGAGTGAGAGGCAAGCAATATTAATACTTAGTGTGCCTGCTTCACGGCCTATTGGATGGTGCTCTGAGCAACCTGACCTAGTGAGTGGCATCCCTGCCTATGGCAGGGGCATGGAACTAGATGATCCTTAAGGTCCCTTCCAACCCTAATCATTCTCTGGTTCTATGAAAACATTTGGTGTCTTCAGACAATAGCAACAAAATTCTAGTTTTTAAAAATTGTTGCAAGACTAGGAGGTGGGAGCTGTTGTTCCCATCTCCTGACAGTAATGGAGGCAAATTTGCCTGAGTCCTCTTATACCCAAGAATTGAATGGGATACCTTCCCTTCTGCCTGTCTTTTTCCTTCTGTCTTTGTCCATTTCATCTATATTTCCACCTTTGTTTTTGTGTGCTCTTCTTTGCTCTTACAGACTTCCATTTTCAGCCAGTGATTATGCACAGTTGGAACAGGTGACTCTTACTTCTAATATAGATCAAAACCAAGAATGTTCAGATTTTTCTGTCTCTTCTGTTCTTAATTTAATTGTACTGGTTATGAAGAGCTGCCCACTGATGTTACAGCCTCCACTTTTAATTTCCATTCTATATACATTCATGGATGTGTATATGTGTATGGGTTGTATACATTTGTTAATGAAAATTAAGACATTAACTTCCTTTTCCTTTTGCTAAAGGAACGTGAAAAAAGGAAGCACGAGAGGATTCTTAGTGAAGAACTTGTTGCTGCTGTGACATATCTCAACCAGTTTTTACCCCCAGAGCATGCAATTATATATATACCCTGGGATATGGCCAAATACACAAAAAGGTAAAAGAGATCCTTTTTTGTGCTAGTGCTCTTAGCCACAATATAAATACTTGTATGCTACTGAATGTGTCACTGTTCAGTTGACTGTAGCTTAGGAAAGATGGGAGAATTTTGTTAAGATCTATGGACAGAATAAAACCCCAGCTTTCTAAAGGATTTTTAAGGTTTTCTGTGGTTTCTTACCCAAGTGGAGTAAGGCCTGAAAACTTTGAAATTCTCTGCAAAGGGGAATTTTAGAGAAAAGCCGTAATAGAATAAAAAAATCTATCAACATTCACTTTTAATTTTGAAATAGTCAAAACACTGCATTCTGTCAGGAGTTTCATTTCAGTCATTGAATTTGTTGAGCTACAAAATTTTGGAAAATGGAGAGGTTTGTATCTGGGTTATATTTAGGTCTAGAACACATGTCCTATGAAGAAAGGCTGAGGGAATTGGGTTGGTTTAGCCTTGAGAAGAGACAGCTCAGGGGTTACCTTATGGCTCTCTATAGCTACCTGACAGGGGTTGTAGAGAGGTGGGGAATGTCTCTCCTGCCATGGCTGCAGGGAGAGGACTCGAGGGAATGGTTGTAAGCTGAGACGGGGAGATCCACATTAGATGTTAGGAAACATTTTTTCCCTTTTAGGTTGATCAGGCACTGGAACAGGTTGCCCAGGGAGGTGGTGGAGTCACCATCCCTGGAAGTGGTTAAGAGGCATCTGGATCTGGTGCTGGGGGATATGGTTTAGGGTTTAGGGGCTACAGCAGAGTGGCAGGTTAATGAGGAGGCCTCTAAGATCATTGAATCCATTGAGGTTGTTGTTTTATTTTTGTCTCCACAGCAAACTCTGCAATGTCCTTGACAGACTGAATGTGATTGCAGAAAGTGTGGTAAAGAAGACTGGATTTTTTGTAAACCGACCCGATTCTTACTGCAGCATCTTGCGGCCAGATGAAAAGTACCTACAATTTATTTGATGTCTAATGAAGAATATCTATTCCTTGGGAAGCTGTTTGGAGTTTCTATGTCAATTACATTACTTCTTACTTTAAGACTTAATTTAGTATGAGAAAATACAATTCATTATTAGGTTACAGCCAAAAGGATTGCAGTCAGAGGCACATGCTAAGAAATGCTAATACAGAATGCAATTATGCTGTTGATGGTCTTCTTATACTGAATTCTTACTTCAAAACTTTATTTGTAACTTGCAATCTGCATCATGTGTCTTCATATAATGCTGTTGAGCTTTTTGAACTTAACCAAAGGAATCCTAAATTTGGATTTTTTAAAAATAGAGACTGTATTTGCTGACTGTTGCAGATTAAGTCTCTCAAGTCCCTGAAAATCCAGAAACAAAATAATTTCCACATTAAAAGTTCAGCAAGTTTTTGATTCACATTTTCATGTTAGGAATCTAATTCATCACTACCCAAATGGGTGTTTATATTTTACCTAAAGAGCTTCTTGGCTTTTTTAACCTCTCTTCATTTAGAAACAGTCTGAGCTCAGACTCTTAGAGCTTTTCTCTGCCATGCGGACACGGCGAGTATGAACTAGCAGGAATAGGATCAGTCTATTTGTGTAATGTTGTGTTCTGTAGAGATGGTGTGCTGAGTCTCAAATGTGATGGGTAGCTTGCCATAGCAGTGCTCTGCTCAGGCTAAGTACCCTTGCTAACTTGAAAATCCTCAGCAGTTCAGGGGTTACTTGTACTGAGCATAGCTCCTCCTCTGCCTCAAAACATCTTGAATTTCTGTTTCATGTTCTCAGGCTCTGGGGTACAATTAAGGCCTGCACTGATTGCAAGATCTGGACAATATGTATGTGTGTTATCTATGTATCTAGCATGTATGCCTAGAATCACGAGATGGAGATTCTATGCCTAGAATCATGAGGGGGAGATTTAAATCAACCACTTTGTGCTTCTGCATGTGTGAGACCTCTGCCTTCCAGTCATTGGCATTGTACCTACTTGAGTGCATGAAAACCTACCTGAGGTTTTTGTGCTCTCAGGACCCAATCTAGCAACTCTTTGTGTTGCTTATACTCTGTTTTATGGGGAACAAAGGCAATATTTTGTGTGGTTCTGGAATATTTCTAGTTCAAGGCTAGATTATTAATGTTATTTTGTTTAAATACAACATCTTACTGCTGCATAGAGCTCTCACTGCTTTCTGCTGTTCAGGGACATCAGTTTTACTCTGTCAGGTTTTTAATTGTCCCCATTCTTAGTTGAGCAGATCAATACATTATACGATCTGTTATTTTTTTAAAGTTATTTTAAAGTCATTCTGTTTTGTTTCTCTTTCAGATGGAATGAATTGGGAGGTTGTGTTGTTTCCACTGGTCGCTTGCAGGTACTAGACAAACTTTGAAAATTCATAGTAATAGTGATGTAGGTCAGCACTGCCAAAGCACCAGTGAACCATTTCACTTAAATACCTGGTTGGTGACTCACAGACTGCACTTAAATGAGTATTTATAGTAAACAGCATTATTGCTGTCCAACCTAGAAATCCAATTGGGAATTAGGGCTTAAAGTTCTTGTATGGTAGAACAAAACCTTATGCTGTTGGAACTGATGTTTGACTGGAAGTAGTCTGAGAAAGCCTGTATTTCAAACTAGTTTCCATTACTATTTAGTCTGTAATGTTAGCAGTGCAGCAAAAGTTAAACCAGCAGCATTTTAGCAGACTGCATCATATAACGTACAGAAGTGAGTTATGAGCATGCTCAACCCTGGTGACATATTCATGCACATGCACATGGGTTATTAAAAGCATCATTGCCAGTGTTGAATATTCTGTACATATTTACAGTTTCTATCACTAAAAGAAAATAAATCTAGAAACATGACTTTCTTTGAGGTCAGAAAAGTACTGACTAGACTGTGAACCTTACAGTACCAAATTTATACCTGAATGTCAGGATTGTATGCTCTGAGTACAGGTCATGTTCTTAAGAAGGGAATGGCCATGAGCTGAGCCAGGGGAGATTCAGATTAGATGTTAGGAAAAATGTTTTCCCTGTTAGGTTGGTCAGGCACTGGAATATTGCCCAGGGAGGTGGTGGAGTCACCATCCCTGGAAGTGTAAAAGAGACATTGGATCTGATGCTGAAGGATATGGTTTAGGGGTTACAGCAGTGACAGGTTAATGGTTGGACTCAATGATCTTAGAGGTCTCCTCCAACCTCGATGGTTCTATGATTAGTTGCTTTTGTCATCCCATTCATAATTTTGTAGTTCATGTAATTTCTAGAGCATGTGACCATTCTTTTACTAGCAGATGACTGGAATGTGTTTGTTGAGGACAGATAAACAGCAGATCTGTAGAATTTGATCTGTTTAAAAAAAAATCAGACCTAGTTAGATTTTTTAAATGTTAGCCTTATACGTTTGCCTGTATTAGGAGAATGAGTGTTTTATCTCTAAGCTTTAATAATTGGAGGTGATCACCAGTGGCATAGATGTAAGCATTTGGACCACAGTTGATCGCTGAATAGATTTCTTGTGAGTTGCACCCCACCAATGCTTCTTGAGGGCTGTTTGTGAGTGGAAGGAGACATGCAGTTTGTATGTTGATAAAAGCAAGAATATTTTGGAAGGAGGCATTGCAGCAGTCTGGTGTAGCTTTGCTTTTTGACATGTTTTAGAAATGTCATCCTTCAAATTTTTGTGAAGACATAATTTGAGCTTTGATAAGACTTGGACTGTAGGAAAAAATTAGTAATCATAAGTGTAGTAATTTGTTAGTTAGGATAATCTTTTGTTGGGATTGTTTTGCCAGACTGGAGTGCTCCGAACCAATTGTGTGGACTGCTTAGATCGCACTAACACTGCCCAGTTTATGGTGGGGAAATGTGCTTTGGCATACCAACTCTATTCCTTGGGATTGATTGATAAACCCAATCTACAATTTGATACGGATGCTGTAAGGTAAGATATAAATAATAAAGTAATAAAGTGTGTCATGTTTTAAATTTTTAGTCAAGAGATATAGGAGAATTATGCCTACGTAGAAGAAAAGTGCAGTTATTTCTACTGGAGTTATTTAATAATGTTTATTCAAGTATAAAAAAACTTTCATACTTGAAATCTTGATAAAATCCAGCCGTGATGAAAGTTTGCTCTTCTGGAGAAGTGTGTTAGCTTTGACCTCTGGGATTCTTGTTTCCTGTGTTGTCTCATATCAGGTATGTATTTCCTGTGTACTTTGCCTCTTCATTTGCACTCTTCTAGCTGGCCAAAGAGGGTAATCTCTATCAGTCTGTCTTCCTTAATTTAGCTAACATGTCTCAAAAACTACAGTTTTTTCAACACATTCTCCAACAATCCTTCTTATTATTCTGATTTTTCTCATATGGTCTCACTCATTTGGCTAGTCCAGAGTTTCTGTTGTACTAAGTATCTGAAGTCAACGTTTTCTTTTGGTTGCCCATCCTGATGGATAAAGAAACCGTGTGTCTAACAAGATTAACCTTCTTAATGACTTTGCTGCACAGGACCATTTCTGCAAGCTCTATTTCTTAGTGATTTCTTCAGTGTAATTGCCTAGGAAATTCCCTAGATAAATAACAAAGTGAGCCTTAGCAGCTTATTTCATCATATGTAGTTAACTTTTCTCTGTGCAGAGGACTAGTCTTTGTGTGACTGCAGGCTTAATGTTTTGAGGCTGTGCAAGGGTAATTTAATTCTGCAAGTCCTTTCCAAATCAACCTCCTTAATGAATTTAAAGTTGTTTGCTTTCTGTGAACCTTTATTGCAAGGTCATTGGAACTCTGTTCATCAGCCTCCCTGACTCACTGGGAAATATTTGAGAAGTATCCTCTTACCTGCCATTTTTTGCCTTAAACCCCCTTTATTTAGCATGTAGTTGACCAGCATTGCTATCTCTCCCCTTGTATAAAAAAAAAAAACCAAACAAAAAAACCACCACCACCAGAAAGAACCCCAAACAAACCAACCCACCAAACCCAAGAAATAAACCAGGGATTCTCATACATGGTGTGACAGGTGGGTTTTGATTTCTTTTTTTTGGGTGTCTGTTATTTAGGGTTGGGGTTTTTTCAAAGTTATTTAGCAGATGTTTCCTCCTAATTGATCTTACTGTACTTGACCTTGGGCAGAAGAGTTGCAGGACAGCTGTTTGGTTTTTACAGAAATTGATTTACTGCTCAGCTAAGTGTTCTTCATCCAGAACCTTTTGAGGAGAGCTTCAGTCAGATGGTTGCTAGGTTACTTATGCAATACTGTCCCTTTGTTGGAAGCTTTCTTAAAGGAATGCTTTTGTTGGGTTGGGGGGGGGGGAGCTGTTCAATTAGATTTTGTTGTTTGTTCTGTCTTCCTTTTCACTTCTTAAGGACTTCTTTCTCTGACAGGTATTACATGCAGGTGCTTCAGTTACTGTGTCTTCCTATAGTGATGTGAAATACATTTCTACAGGTTTAGTGGTTGGGTTTGGGGTTTTGTTTTGTTCTGTTTTGGTTTTTCCCCTCTTAACTTAACCCTCAGCCTCTTTGGGCAAAATGTCATCTTTGTCACTGTCTTGCTCAAACAAGGCCACAGTCTCCATTTCTGAGAAGCACTTTTCAGTTTGTTATCTTTGAGACTGGGTGTCATGTCCCTAGGATAGCCTTGGGTTTGGAGACAGTTGTTTTTGCATTGATGGGAAGCTTCTTCAATTTTTGCTATTTGGATTGCTCTCAGTTCAGATACTGTCAACTTCCTGATGCTAGAGGACTGTGTTGCTTTTTAACCAGCTCTCCTTGTTCAAGCCAGCTCTTAGCCAGTTCTTTCTGCTTTCTTACCTCATGATTTTCCATCTCCAACAAATGTTATCTGACTGCCATACGCTTGTCTTACAAGTCATATTTATTCAGTTTGTACCTTTGAGCCATAATTACTGCAACTAGGGAGATTTTGAGAAGGGTACACTAACTTCATTCCCAGGGACTTGACAGAATACTTAACCTTGAGATATTAATGTGTTCTGTCCCACTTAGTGTATTTAAAATACCTTGGTTTGTGAAGATATATTGTTTGTTTTCTCCCCATGGACTAGTGGGACACGTTAATCTTCTCCCTGGATCTACAGAACTGCATATTCCATAGTGTGACTGCATTCTGTTATATTAAACATTAATTAAAAGCTTGGAAGTCTAAATCTTCTTAGTAATTATTGCACCTGAATGATTTTTCCACATATTTATCTGAACAAGGGAGAAGAAAATGTATTGCATTTATGGAAAGAATTTATTATTACAAAACTCTATGATATTTTCTCTTTAAAAATTCTAGTCAGAAGTCTGATAGATGACACATTCTGCTTTTCCTTCAGATTGTTTGAAGAGTTATATGAAGACCACGGAGACACACTCTCTCTGCAATATGGAGGCTCTCAGCTTGTCCACAGAGTGAAAACATACAGAAAGATAGCTCCGTGGACTCAGCATTCCAAAGATATCATGCAAACGCTCTCCAGATATTACAGTAATGCCTTCTCAGGTAAATTTAATTAGAAGTGCTTTCTTTTAAGCTATTATTCACTCAGCATCTTACTTCGGATGTTTCAATAATCTATGCTACAATCTTGTGGCAGAGATAAGCAAAGAGCTGTTACAGAGCTGTCAAAATGAGCATGTCTTCAGCAAATGTAAGGAAACTGGTAAATCTAAACACAAGTAGAAGACTCCACATGCAGTATTTCTTGTGATGTTTCTGCGGGCTTAAAACAAAAAGCAAACTATTACTTTTGTTCACAGAAACTGCATAGCCAGGGATGAAAGTGTCTTTCTTTTTTCCTTATCCGTGTAGACTGCCATTGTTAGAGACTATGTGAACTTTGCAGCCGTGAGTTGGACACTGGGCTCTGGTTTCTGTGACTGAAATCATTGCTTTTGTTACTGACACAAAGCTCTGATGTAACAATGTGAGAGCACAGCATTCAAAGTACTTGCTCAAATGTAGTTCATGTAATTTGTGTACCGTATTTGCCCAAGTTAAAGGAGAAATGGAGAGTTTATTTATTTCAGGGATATGTTCCCTTACTCTTTGCATTGGCAATAACGTATAACTTCATCAGTTCTTATGAGCAAAAAGTAGCACACTTGCCATGCCACCTGTACTGATACATGGAAGATGAAACCTTCTATGAGGCCCTTGACTTTCATGCCAGGCACTGAAATGGTTAGGTGGAAGCTTGGGCAAAGTTCTAGATCCACATCTGAGGTTGTGGTCTGCTTGCAAGGATAGTCATGATATGCATGTCTTCTAGTAATAAACAAATCTGTTCTGAAAAAGATGTTGCAAAAAAAGGAGAGAATATAGAATGAAATAAAAGTGCCTCATCACCTGAATGAACTCGTAGCAGAGTACACAAATGGACGTTAGTCTTTTCTGAAGTCAGTATGAAAAATGAAACTTCCATAAAGGTGCTGCACACTTTCCCAGTTTACTTATGATTTTGGAGTTTGATCCCATTTGAGGCGAATATTTTTGGTGCTTTATGCATTCCTTGTGTTTGAAGATGACATTGTTGAAATGTAGCCTTCAAGTTGTATTTGCTGCATTTTTAGTGTAGAATTTTGAAATACTCTTTTCAGTGAAATGTGAAGCTTCACTGTCCAGCACTGCCTGTTGTTGTAGTTGCCTAGTGGCAACTACAAGCTTGTAATGTGACACGTTGAGTGAGATCATTTTATGCTTGAAGTTTTCTCAGAAACCAGAGAAAAAGGAAACATTTTCAGAACAACATTTTGGTTTGCTATGCTGCTTTTATTGTCATCCATCATATATCCTTTAAAATGCAAATAAAAATCTGAGGGCTAGCCAGTTCATCACCCAGCATTTTCTTATATTTCTGGTCAGAGAAACTTTTTTTTAATGCTTATATGTTGTATGTACCTGTTGTAAACAGACTCAGAATAGTCTAGTGATTTGCCTGAAGTCATACAGGATATCAGATTCAGCATGAGGTTACAAGTGGCCTGCTAGCCGTGCCTCCTAAATAAATCACTTGGTCACACTTGTGCTGTTTGTCTGTCACTAAAAAGACATGAATCTAAAAATAATTTACACTTTTGAGAAAATGGTTTCATCTCTTGACCTCAAAGCTCTTAGGATAAGTGCTGCTAATTAAGTTGTACAGATGAGAGAAAGTAAGACATGTATTGATTAACTGACTTGCCTGGAGATACTACTCGGGTAGATAAGCCTTGGACTTGTAAGAAAGATGACTTTGAATGCATTTTCCCCCTAGTTCATGATGTGCCTTAGCTTTTGTATAGATTTACTGTACCTATAAATTTGTAATGTGTTGCCACACATAGAAGAGTGAAGCATTAAAAAAAAAAATTTCTCAGGATCAAGTTAGTGACTGAAGCATAGAAGAAAACCAAGGTTTCCTCCTAAAAATATGGGACAGTTAATTTTTTTGTAATTTGAAAAAATCTAACAGGTGTAGGCAAAAAAAATCAGCTTCTCAATGCATGTTTTTAATTCTAGCATTTGAAAAAGAGTAGAGTGTAGTTTGGGAAGTCAAGTGTTTGAAGTACTCTGGTTATAAGCCAATGAGTTGTACCAGAAAAAAGAACATTTTCCAGCTAAGAATTAGGTGTTCCTGCAACACCTTTTCTGGGAGGCATTCGGCTCATTGAGCTCTAACATTTTTCTTGTCAGAGAAATTAGGAAATAGTATTCCAAAAAATATTCTTCTATCTCTTATGCCTTCTAGAAAGTAATGTGACGTTGCAGACTTCAGTGCTGGAGTTAAAACATGAATAATAAGCTTCTGGAATCTGGAATAATCTATTTATCCACAAACAGGACTGGACATAGGAAACTACCTTGTGGTGTTACATGAAAGTAAACTTAATTACCATAACCTTTTAGTCATAGGACACCACAGTCCCAGCTGTGTTGAATCTCTCACGATTTAGTAATTTGTCATGTGTTGCAGTTGCAAACTCAGATTGAGAGCAGATTATTTTAGGCTAATTGAATTAACTGGCCCCTTCAGTTCCTGTTTTCTGAAATGGTCTTAAAACTGTGCTAGTATACACGTACGTTACAGCATCTTTTGAAAAATCAGTGCAGTTCTTCTACTTGCATATAATTATAACATTCAGTGCTAAGAATAAAGGGAGAAAACCTCTTTGCCCTTTTGTGTTCCACAGAGCACTATGTTCCCATTTTTATTGTTTTTTATTTTTCTATCTAGATAAGAAAGTTGATCTGAAAAGCTCAGTACTCTCTTTTCTCTGGCCAGTGTTCCCAAGAAAGACAAAAGCTTTCATTATTTTTGTTCAAAATTAAGTCATTAAAGTGTTCAGCCCTTAATGTAAGACGAGGAGGATTGACACCCTTCAGGTTAACTGGAACATATGCTTGTCCCAGCTTGAAGATTCAGGCACAAAGATTCTGTAATATTGTGGGGTTTTACCTTCTTTTAAATTACTAGTTGAGAAGTAAGGCAGTAGAAAGACATTTTCTGGTGAATGTCCTGTCATTCTGTTAAGATTAAAGCACAACTGAATAGCTGAAACAATAAACACAGATGAGAGTTTGAGTCCCTTGGCAATGTAACAGTTAGCAGCAGTCACTTTTTGCTGTGGAAGAAAGGCAAGAATGCTTCAATGAACTGCTGCTTTCCACCATTTCAGACAATGAACTGGTTAATTCACTTGGGATGAGTTTAAATTCAACCTCATTTTCACAGAACAAATTGTCATTTTGTTTTATTTCATTTTAACGTCTGTCATATAAGTAGTGACCTAGTTTATTAACTGAATTGTCTTGTTTTATTCTAATTGTTTTAAAATTATTTAGTTAGCAATTTTGGTATACCTTCTGTTCCTGACAGGTGAAACAGTGGTAAGTGAACAAAGGAGGCTTCATCTCTGCCTTTAGCTTTCAGAAATTACCACCAATGTTGACCGATTTGCTCACGTTAATTAGTTTTGTCTTCAGGGCTCCTCCAGTTTCTACATGTAGAGAGCTTTCTTAGGGATTTGTCCAGCATGTTCTTTAAACCAGTAAATAAAGAGCTTATCAGGACAAAAAAAATACATGTCACTGCTTGTGACTTTTCCTTTCTTTTGAATTATTAGTATCCTCAACCAGGTTGTTTTGTTTGTGAGTTGGGGGTTTTTTAAGACCTTTTTGCTGAGTTTTTCATAGCTTTCTTGCACTATTCTTGGCCTTCCTAATTCTCTCCTTCTCTCTTGGTTAAACTGTGACACTATTTTGCAGAGACAATATGGCCTGCAAACCTTTTGACCTACATATGCTTTTGAGTATTACTGTGTAGAATAGTTAATGTTTATAAGCTGATCCAAGAAAGAAAGTAAAATAAGTATGTTCTTGGAAGACTGTCTGAAGGGACAGTAAAACCATCTGGAAAGAGTATGAATGGATAGAAAAAGGAAGAAAAAAGCCAGATTCCAGATAGAGAGTCTTAAAAATAGCCAAGGGGAACTAAGCAACATGAGGTTTCCCCTTTCCTTCCCTTTTCCTGGTGCCTTACCCTGTTACACCATGTGACTGTTTAGACCCCAAGTCCAAATACTGACCTCCACATATGCAGCCTCCTGTAAAGACTGCACTTTTTTATATTCCTGTTTCCATCAAATTTCTATATAGCACCTCATTTATCAGCTTCTCATGTGTCTGTAAGAAGTGTGTTGCACAGAGGGAAGAGGTGTTTGAATTCTGGGGAGACGGAAGTGTTGACCAAAGCTTGGGTGGTAGCCAGGGACCAACTTTATCCTTGCTGTCATACCACTGCTTTTGTGGATTCTGCTCACTTTTTCACCTGCTTTCTGGTATCCTGAGACATCAGTTGGTCTTTTTGATGTGGTGTGTTGCTAAAGGAACACTCAACTCTCATAACACTCTTTTTTGAAATGGGAAGAGAACTGAAGTAGCAACACTATTTGTTGAACTAGTCTGAATTATTCTTTGTCTGATGGTTACTGAAGTGCAAACAAGTGGAGATGAGAGCTTTCCACATATTAATTCCTCCCCCACACCTGAAGATCCTTTGAGTGCCGACCTCCCTCTGCCCCTACAACTCTGCTTGCAGTGCTGTCTCTGTCACAATTCACCATCCCCAAGCCCTCATTTCACTCAAGTGTTTTTTTATATCTGCTGTAACTTATCCTGTCTGCAGCTAGGTAGCAACAGAGATTTTAAAGACGTAAGTGAACTCCTGGATTTTAGCACTTGCCTTAGTTTGGTGAAGTTTAGAATATGGCAACAGAAATTGATGATTTAAACCAACAAGGAAAACCTCCAAATTATTAAAAGATGTTTGTGAAGCTTGAACCTTTTATTGACAATGTTTTGGCTAGAAAAACCCAAAGAATCCATAATTTGTATGTTTTGTGGGAAACTTGTGTGGATCCTGTTTAATTCCATTGAATCATTTTTCTGTTATTCAGATTGCACTAAATTCATCATGATATGTCATATTTCCTGAATCATGCATGAATACATGCACATGCTTTGTGCATAGATGTGTATGCAGAGGTGGGAAACAGAGCTGCAGTGTGAGCTCTTACTTCTGCAAAGCCTCTGCTCCTGTGAGAGCAGCCAAGGAGAGAGGCAGCGTTGGTACCAGCCCTGCATGCACTGCAGGGTGCCAGAAGGTCTGGTCTAAATGAAGCTTCATGATGCTGCTTGAAGCCCAGAGGTTCCTGTAGCAGTCAGAGGACATACACACTCTGTGTCTGAGGAGCAAACAGAACCAATGTCTGAGTGAACTTGAGCTCTGCAATGTTCCTGGCACTAAGTGTACCTCTTCTCTAACAGATGCAGACAGGCAAGACTCTATCAATCTCTTTCTGGGTGTATTCAAGCCTTCAGAAGGAAAACCACATCTCTGGGAACTTCCCACTGACTTTTATTTGCATCACAAGAACACTCTCAGTCTGTCCCAGACCAGGCGAAGGTATTTTGCAGTTCTGTTTTTGTTGTTTGGTATTGCTATAATAAAGTTTTAAAAATATATGTTGTTAACCAAATAATTTGGTCAGCCTGGCAAAACCTTGCTTACTGGTTTTTAAGGTTTTACAAAAACTTAGGAAAAAAACTGAAAAAAAAAGTTTAATTGCATATGAAATTCTGTTCTGCAGTGGAAGATGCTTTGCTATTTTACTGAAGTTACTACAGTTTTATTGAGCAATATAGAAGGGCATTTTTGTTGGTTAGATTTATTAAGTTATTGCTGAATTTGAGATTAGGTGATGTGGATAACATTTGTTTGTTGTTTTGTGTCCTGCACTTAGTCTGCAGCTGTGCATACCAGGAAGCCTATGACCTTCCTTTCAGCCACATCCAGGCTCTTTCAAAGACTTTCTTTTTTTATTTGCATTCCACTGTAGTTGCATGGTAATATATAGAAGCAATAAAGTATAAAAATTTTAAAGTAGTTTGATTGCTTCACAATGTGAAGTGATTTTGTTAAGGATTATGAATACTATGTGTTAAAAAAAATCCATTTTAGCAACAAGGGCAGTACTAGACTTGTCAAGTAAATAATCTCTTTTAGGAATTTCGCTGGTTTTATCTTTGTTCGTTCTGTGAGTCTTAAAGCTCTTTATTGCAAGGGATAGATCTGAATATCTGCATTTAGATTTTTGTGGGGGGAAAATCGCAAGTGTTTGAACAGTGTGATCAATCCTTGTTGGCTGCTTATGCTATTAAGCTGTTGTAACAGCTGACACATGATATGGCTGTTCCTGAATTTCAGTCCTTTTGCATTGTCTCCTGTGACTTCTCTTGTTGCTAGCTCGTATGAGCCCTACAGCCAAGTGCCATTTCAGGCATATATGAGACATGTAATATTCATTTTCTTGCCTACTAGTTCTGAACATTATGGTATATCAAAAACTAATGCAGCTGATATATTGCTAATAGGCAAATGTTCTAATCTCCCTTTCATCTATTTCTACCAAACTACTGGACAACTTCTTCATGTAACTTCTTCCTGCCTCTCTGTGCAGTGCCTCATTTGGATTCCTTGGGCACAGCACAAAGGAAATAATGAAAACTCCTAATGAAATCAAGGATATAGGAAGGGGAAAATGTTTCCTGTTGTTGAAACTTCTTTTTGCTATCTGTGCTTTTCCTATATTGTGTTTGCCTCTCCATCAGAAAGCAGAGATTTCATAATTTCACCTACTCCTTTTCTATAATTTGTGATTCACATGAAAGGACAGTGACTGTGGAGCAGGAGACTTTGTGTTGCTGCGTTACTTAGCATTTACGCCTGCACCAAAACTGGATATGTCTGCACAGTCTCTGAAGGCACTGGAGAAAATAGCTTGCTAGCATGGCCTGATACTTCGAGAAGAGAAGGACCATCAGGCATAACTCATTCCCTTCTGTCTAGGACGTCCGCAGTTCTTGGAACTGAATTGTGTTGCCCTGCCACTTCTGTACCATCTGCTAAATCCCATTAACAAGTCTATCTCTGGGCATGGGAATATACCCATTTTGTCTGCTCCAGATGGCTACATTGACACGAGTAGGAGATAACCACACTAATACTCCCATTACAGCCCTCACAGTATTTGTGAATGAACACATATTTGAAACAGAAATAAATGCAGATTATTTCCTTTTCATTCCATATAATGAAACAGAAGAAACTGTCAGAATCGTTTAAAGAAATTAAAGTCTATTTGAGAAGAAATAATAAAAATGTTCAAATATGAATGAAAGATAAAAAATGCTTTATGAATGTTGCTTGACTTCCTTTGTTGTTTTTCAGAAATCCTGAATAAGCTTCCAGCAGGGCTTGAATTTTGCTGTTAGGTATGCCAGGATACAGTTCTCAGGCTTAGGACAGCTGTCACATCAAAATGTGTTTCTGTGTGCAAAAGTCAACTGCTTTGGCAATCGTCCAGTGTTATCATCATCGACCTTCATTTCCTCATACCCTTCTGCTAAATTTTAGGATCTGAATAGCAAGTGAGGGGGATGCCTTTTCCCTCCTAAAGACCAGAACAAGAGAAATACACAAATACCTCCTATATGTGCTAACACCTTAATTTCAGTTATGTCGAAGTAGGCACCTGAAATGTATTTTTTCAGTGTAACAAATCCACTCTTCCCTTCATACCTGTATTGAGCTTCATGTGTTTAAATTTCCTCACCTGAAAGCACAGGAGTAGGCTTAGGGGCCTGTTGAAATCCTCCATCCAGGGATGATTCTTTCCTTCCACACTTGAAGTATAAAGCAATGTTTGCCGAAATGACACTGTCTGAATGGGTAAATGTTGTGTGCAAACATTTAGACTGGCTACAAGATCAAATCTTCTGTATCAGTCATATTTCTGTTTTTCCTGTACAGCTATACCTACTGGTGGACCACAGGTGTGCTAAAGCATTTACCTCTTCCTTTTGATGAAGGTAGGAACTGTATTTCCTCCTTGCCTTGCAGAGTATCTTGAGAAAGAAATTTTAGTCCCAAGTGCTTTTTAGCAGTTTTGGATCCCAAATCTGAAAAATAATGTGTCTGTAATGACTGCTAAATACTTTTTTTGTCCACCAATGAGATGATTTTTCAGCTGCAGGTTGCAAGAGATAGACCTAGTTGACTAAAACTTGACTTTCATATCTTTATGAGCCAGGGCACACTTTATTATTACTTAACCTTTTTCTTGCCTATTAACATATATTTGCAGTCTGTGCTGGTGGTTACACTCCTGTTGCAGATACAGCTAGTGTTCCTTATTTCTCTGGGGTATTGTGGGGCATGTTTTACTAGGAATTGTCACCATGAAGGGAATCAAATTGTGGTGGTCAGTAATGCCTATTTATCAAAGATGTGCAATGCATCTTCATGTCATATTTTCTTGTCTTAGAGGGGATATGATTGTAAAAAAATGCCTAGTAGGGTGGCTAGGTGAGCAGGCCACTGTTTGTTTAGATTTTTGCAAGAGTCAGTAATTGCTAGTAAAAAGATTTATTTCTTTTTCCCCAGTGACTTGTGCTGAAAACAGACGCAAGTTGACCGTGAAGAAGTTCCACAAATATGAAGAGGAGATTGATATCCACAATGAGTTTTTTAGGCCATATGAGTTGAGCAGTTTTGATGAGACCTTCTGCTTGGCAATGACCAATTCCACACGGTACATTGTGATGTTTTGTGACTGTAAATCCTTGACTGGAAGTTGATTTGGTGAATTAAATGTGCATTTGATTTATTTCATTAAATATTTATAACTTCAAATTTAGTAAAGTTCTCTAAATCATAATGCTACATGGAAACATTACTTTAAAAAAAAAGTTCTGTTAAAATGGCTCTTAAATTTCCAATTATTTTACATTATGGAGTGCCTAGTGTTTGGGCACTTGAAGGCTGAGAAATGAAGTTTTTGCTGTGGATGCAGATTACAGGATACCTTCAACACAATTGTTTTCTAGTTGTTCTGCTCTCATTTTACATCTGTTGTATTCAGTTCATCTGGGTCTCACAGCTGGGCAGATATTTTGGGGGTTTTTTTGTTGGCAGCAATCAGCTGGGTATTCTAAGTATAATCTGAATCATGCTTTAGCTAAAGACTTCCAGGCAGATTATGTTTCATGTAGCTTTTTGACCCAGTTTGTGTGTTGGCAGCATTTTCAAAACAATGTCTGAAGCCCTGAATTACAGAGCTTCTCCAGCACAGGAATGGAGCACATTGGTTTAGAGTCTTTGGCAAGGGGTAGCATTTGCAGCTGTTTTATAGGACTACATGATACAACTAAAAGCTTTTTAAATACCTAGGGGAGTTATATCTACATGACTTTAACTTCAAAAAAGATACCTCTTTTTATAAAGTTTTTTTTAATTCAGAGGTAGATGTTAGAGGTGCTTCTTCCAGGAAATTTAGAAGTATTATGTATTGAACTTTGCTTGTGAGCAGTTTTTTCTTTCTATTTCGGCAGAGATTTTATGCCCAAGAATGTGGGAATCGATCCAAGTCCATTTACAGTTCGTAAACCTGATGAAACTGGGAAGTCAGTGTTGGGGTAAGTCTGAAATAGGAAAGTCTGTTCTAGTTTAATATTAATAAAATTGTAGTGAAAAAATAAATTGTATGTGTGTCTGTAGCATATTCGCTGTTACATGGGAAATAAAAAAGTCACTGGTATTATACTGTAGAATTGTACACTTTGAAAATCACATCTAATTTGAGATTTTTATTTGACACTAGGAATTCTTTATTCAGACTTGTTTAATATTTTCTGGTTTCTTATATTCCTCTAAGTGAAATTCATGAGGATATTTTATGTAAAACATACAGAAGTTATTAAAATTCAATCATCTCTTCATACTGGTGGCAATGGTATTCTCTATTGGAGGTGACAGGAATGCATATATTCTTGTTGCCTTTAAAGAAAATAATTGATAAATGTTTCATAAATATCCTGAAACAGTAATAAATGCCAATTTCAGCACAGTTTGTGATTTCAAATGTTGTTAAAAATATTTATAGATGAAATTATATACAGCATTACAGCAACAGTTATTGGGACAATGAATGCTTCGTTTAGCTGCCTTTGCACCCTGGATTTACTTTGTAACTCTATTTATTCCACTGCTATGTTTGAGCCACTGTATCACACAGTGGTTATGCAGACTCTTCTCGAATTAATTCTCTTTTCACTACCTCATATTCAGGAAACCTTTTGTCAATAGTGACTAAACCTGTGCTGCCACAGCATTGTAAGTTCCTCTGAAAACTTGACATTCTGTAAAACACTAGAACATTTGACTGTCTCATGTTCTGCTCTGATCTTGAGGGATTTGTCAGTAAGTGTGGAGAGTAGACTATGCTTATCACTAGGAGAATCTGATTTCATCCTATTGATGTTCCTTGGGAATGAACAGGAAGACTGTTCAACTGTTATACAGTTTATCTCTGCTAAGAATTGTGAGTTTATGAGTACTTTGAGGATAAGCTTTATTCTTCTGCTTTGGTATAATGTCAAATTCTAGACTAACTAATTTGTCTCCAGATATTCCATTAAATACTTGACCATTATACATTTTTCTCAGGCACTTTGCTTGAAGCTCTCACTGTGATTTTTTAGGGATTGTTACAAGACACAGAATCAGCTCTGTCCAAGCCAGATTCAGGACTCCCTGGGTATTATTCATAAGGCTTCCCCTGCATTGACTGTGTAGTAGGGTAAAAGATGCCTTCACTCTTCCACCTCACCCTTATTTGGCCTTTGGTAGAGGTGATACCTTTGCCTTGCACATCTTTTTTAATTTATGACATTTCTGAAGGGTTTGGTGATGTGTTTTTGTCTGTAAGTGTTCCAGTCCCAGGGACAAGTAGATCGTGACCTCTTCTGAGTACACGTTGGGGTGGGGATATCACTCTTAGCAGTGCTTGACTACTCACTCCATTCTTCAGCTTTCAGGAAGGACTGTTTTTCTTGTGACCTTCACCTCATTTAGAAAAGTAGGGAAGATAAGCATTCTTTGTAGAGAAAATTAAGGTTATGTCTTTATAACTTACTGTAGATTTCAGTCTAAGCAGATGTCAAGTTCTGCTGAGTCAGAAGTTAAACTTGACTGTGATGTTTGTTCCAGCTATAGGAATTGTTCTGATATTTCAGTGTCCTTGGGGGTGGGGTATACTCTCAGATCAGGAACCTTTTGGAAGGCTGTCATACTTGTTTGTAAGTGCTTCTAAAGCATAAAGTTTAGCTCATTCAGTACAGGAATACACTGCTGTATGAGTTTGACTTCAAGAAGCAGAACTCTTATAAAGAGTCACGGTGTGTTCCCTTAGAGCTCAAGTGATGCTGATGAGAACACTAGACCTGCAGCTCAAAATAGTATTTGCAGAAAACTGTATGCTATTTTCAAAGCCTCTTAGCATACTGTTGTCTTCCTCTGGAGTTAAGTCACGCACAGTCTCAGTGATAGATGGACAGTCTCTGCAGCAAGGAGGAAATGTTGCTTCCCTGTCTCCAGAGGTTTATTTATAAACATACTCAGTAACTGCCTTCCCTGAAAGATTGTGACAGTGTCTGAGAGGAAAGGGCAGCCACTTACCCTTCTCTGTGCCAGTAGGAGAGGATGCAGTGGACATAAGGGTGTATAATGTCTGATGGGTAAGGTAATGCACACCTTTCAGACCATGTACAGTTAAACGCAGCGTTAGCCTACTAAAGTATCTTGAAGACTTCTTACAAATAAGGCACTTCTTTATATTGGCTAGGATTTCTTGAGTGAGAAATACATGCCACACAAAGAAGTGGTGCTGATTGAAGAACTATATTGAGAGGAGAGGTATGGAAAAGAAGGAGGAAAAGGTGACATGATTAAGATTTGTGCCCAAGATTAAGAAAACTACTGGAGTGGATGTTAATGAAGTGAAACTTTTTCCCAGATCAAAACCAAAGATGTTATGTCTCAATGAATTTTTATTCCTTTTTATTTATTCGGTTGAGGGGAGGAATTTAAGCAAAGAGTCAGAGAATTGGTGGAGAAAAGCTGACTTAATCCTTTGAGCTCTTTAAATGCTCTGGAACAAGAAGAGATTGAAGAAATTAATTGGGGATTTCAAAAGATGAGCAAGAAGTTGCTCTAGAGGATAGAATTTATTTCCCCAGAAAGATTGTAACCAAGATTAGGAATTTTAAATATTGTTAATATCTTGCTGGTTTCATAAATACACACTGCCTTTCCTAACAGGAATAAAAATAATAGAGAAGAAACTGTGCTGCAGCGCAAAACAGCTGCTAGTGCTCCTCCACCCCCAAGTGAGGAAGCAGTGTCAAGTAGCTCTGAAGATGATTCTGGGACAGATAAGGAAGATGAGGGAGCTGTTTCTCAACGTTCAACTCCAGTAAAAGTGACTGATACAGGAGACAATACAAAGATCACAGAGGTAAGAAATTATTTATGGCAGGAAGGAAGGCTAATCAAGGACTTAAAATTCACACCTCCTTAAAAAAACAACCAGTAAATGTTACAGAACAGTCAGAAGTAAAGCACTGAGAAATTAAGTGAAAAAAGTATCCAGTGGGGTTTTTTTGTGTGTGTAGACATTAGCAAAACTGCTTCTAGAACTTCCCTGTTGCTCTTGCTGTGTGAAACACAAGGGGGAATTTTTTTTAAAAAAATAAATAAATTAGAAACCTGTGGCATTGCAAGGTGCTCATGTCAGGTGTCATCTGTTACATAAAGCATGAACTGCATCTGTGTTAGTATGTTATTTCAGAGCATGGTGCAGTTCTGATCGTTGCCCCTTCCCATGCTCTGGATTGCATCATGAGGTGGTTCTGAAGCGTAGAAATGGGATTTCTTTTTCGATGAAAATAAACCAGGAATTGCTGCTCCAGGAATATACTTGATCTACCTGCCTAATCAACCTTTAGTTCATGGGAGCTAATCTGGAGCAAACCCCCTGAAAGATGTGTAGTATGGACCTGAGGTCCTGAGCACCACCTCTTTGAATGATGCCACTTGCTCAGGTCAATGTCACTGTAATTTAGTGTTCAGTCTTGCTGAATTTCAACCTGATCTATGTGGAGATTTTAAAATTGCTGTTTCATAATTATATGGTCTCATATTTAAAAAAAAAAAGAAACTAACTCAAAAAATGTGCATTGCAATGTTATCACATTGGTCCTATGCTGTTACTACTGCTAAGGTTGAAGATAATGGCAGTGAATCAAATAGCAAAATAAACTGTCAGGCACAGTCAGGTGAAGGGAATGTGGGTTCTCTGTTCTGGGCTATTAATCTTTTCTTGCTAGAATAACTCCCCTTTTGTTGCAATCCCTTGGGTGCTAATTTATTGAAAATATTAATTTGTATGAAGTGTTATAGAAATACCTATTTTATTAATCCATGTAATAGTTCTTCAGATTCTTTCCTGTAGATATCCATTTTGGGTACCACTAAAAATGTCTTAGCAAAAGGATTTGCTAATGGAGAATATAGGAATTTGGAAAATACTTATGTTACCTGGAGGGGGTGGTTGTTTTTCAAGTCACAGCTAATTTAAATGGTTATAGTGTTGTGCTTGTACATTATCCCTTTTGAAGAAAACTGAGCATTTATAACCTGAGTTGGTATGAAATGTAGTGCCTGATAGGCAGCAGAGAATAAACTTGCCTTTTTGTCATCTGTTCAGTCTTTAGCCTAGGGTTGTGTGTTCTCAGGTAATGGTTTTCAGCCTTCTGTACAACGCTGTCTTCTTCCTAACCATAATGAAGCATTTTTAATAAATATCTGTGAATTCATGTGCGATTAATTTTGGCCAGTTTAGATTAAGCCAGTACAAGTGCCTTTATTTCTGTTTATGCAAGATATATTTTCTGAAGTTTTCCATTATCTCTGAATAATAGAGTACTTGTTTCCCAGCAAATCAGATTGTTTCCTGATTTTTTTTAACAGCAGCAATCTAACCTGAGTTTTGATTCTTGATTCATACTATTGCACAATTTATCTCACGACAGTTTGTCCCTCATGTGTTTTGAACACACATCAACCCTCAGACCTAAGATAGCTTTTTTAGATTTTCAAGATGTTTAAATGAAAGATGTATGTAAATACAAAGTATGATTTAAAATGTGAGGAATTTCAATGACTTAAAATTGGGTGAGCTATTCTGATTTTTTTGGTCGTGCATATGAACCTTTGTCATGCATTGACCTTTAGTCTCCCTCATGTGTTTTGAACACACATCAACCCTCAGACCTAAGATAGCTTTTTTAGATTTTCAAGATGTTTAAATGAAAGATGTATGTAAATACAAAGTATGATTTAAAATGTGAGGAATTTCAATGACTTAAAATTGGGTGAGCTATTCTGATTTTTTTGGTCGTGCATATGAACCTTTGTCATGCATTGACCTTTAGTCAGAATTTCACAGAATCATAGAAGGGTTGGAATGGAATGGACCTTACAGATCATCTAGTCCCAACCCCTGCTGTGGGCAGGGACACCTCCTAACTAGATCAGGTTGCTCTAGGTTTCTTCCAACCTGGCTTTGAACCCTGTCAGGGTTGGAGCATCCACTACCTCCCTGGGCAACCTGTTCAGTTTGTGTTAATTCATGTCCTTGCTTATTATTTGGGGAACCCAAACTGCTAGTTCTTTTCTGTTCACATATCTCAGAAGTTAATAAAATATGCTCTTATACTTCTGGTCAGGACACGTGTTTCTGAAGTGTTTTGACTTTGGATCTTTGGGAGCTGAACTGTCTTTATAGATGACTTGCAGTCATATGTGCCTTGTCAGTAAACCCCCTCAGCTGCAGGCTGAATCATTAGCCAGACTCAGTGAAGGATTGCATGTGCTTCGGTTCCTTGTTATAGCTGACTGACATGATTGCATAATGCCTAAAATAAAAATAGTTTCTTACAACCTGAGGTTTGTAATTATTTCAGAACTGACAGCAGGAAATGTGAAAGCAAATGTGGGAGCATGTTCTGAATGAGTATGTTTTATTCTATATTAAATTTCAACACAGAACATAATTTAATAACTGCATCATTATGTTCTATGCATATAATTTTTTCTCCTAACATGTTGCTTTAGCTGATGTTATATTTCAAGAATTCTTTACTTGCTGAACAAATGTGTTGAATAATATTTGTAATAAATTATTTTTATTAAAAAACATGCACAAGCTAAGGTTACTGTGTACATGAGAAACTTGTTTGGTCGTGTTTGCACATTTTTAGGTTTAGAAGGAGTTCCTTGCTTGAAAGCAAACTTTTCTCTGATGTTATTATGCTATTCTCAGTCTGAGTCTTTCTTATGTTTCAGAATGTAGTGCAGTCAACAAAAGATGTGTATGGAGTCAATCTCTCAGATATTCCCTCAGAAGATGATCTCGCCATATATGCTAGGTGAGATAAATTTCCAGTGGTAATCAGTAAAAGATAATTTGAGCTGTTTAAATGCAGTTTGTCAAAGCACTGCCTTTGATTAAACTGTTTAAGTTATACATTTAGAGATACTTGGATATGTGTACTATTATTTTTCAAAATCAAACTATTTTCAGATATCTGTGTGAACTCTGATTTCAGTAGAAGTTATGCAGATGTCTCTGAAAGCAAAATGTGGAGTTTAAATTAAATGGAAGATGCTTCAAAAGAAATATGTCTTACTTAATATAATCCTAGAAATCGATAAGCAAATTCCATAAGAATTCTGTATTCTGTTGATAAATAAATTCCACAGGAGTGGTTCCATGGTTGTAAGCTCTTTAATCTGTGGTTTATGCATTTTTCAAATGTTGAGTTACACTAATTCAAACCAGTCATAAGTGAAATAGTTCATTCTGTCAAAATGCGTGTGAAACAATAGAATTTAAGTCTCTTTTTTAGCATAAAGTCTTACTCATAGGGGTATGTATTAGCTGTTACTTTCTACTCAAATTTAAATAGTTGCACCACTTTTGATGTTTAAGGAAAATTACTTTTTTTGAAACTTCTTGGCCTTTTGCATTTGAAATAAAATCTTGTTTATAGGGAGACCTTGAGGCTGTTACTAAATCTGGTATAGCCTGTGAGGAGAAGAGTTGAGAAAAGTGGTCAGGACATCTCACACAGTAGAAACACGAATATCCAAGTGACAGATACTTTTTGTGTGAGTTTCAGGAGAGAAAGAAGTCATTTTGGCCGTTGCCATTGTTGGAGTTTCATGAAATAATGACATACAGCTATATGTGGTGTGTGGGGTTACATGCATGTGTATATATATGTGTACAGTGCTAAGTGTAGTGTGTGTAATTACGTGCTCTTACACACTGCATTTGGAACAGCATCAGCCACTTGTCTGTAATAAATGGTTTTATGCATTCAAACCATGTGAGCAGGAGATGAGTAAGGTACAGCATGGTGCACGACAAAATACAGCTTCTTAGGTTTCCTCTTGCACTGGTGGGCAAGCATCAAGGTACCACCTCCCAGCACCAACTCCACCAAAACTTCTGCTTTTATTCAGGGATTGTTTGGTCTGATACCCTCTAGAGGACAGCTGTCACCACTCCTGCAGGAGCCATGAGTTGTCTGCCCCCAGGAGCAAGCTGCAAGTTAATGATGTTCTTCACCAACAAAAGGCAGTGACTCCCATTGTATCAGGAATGCTGTTTCTGAATTGCCAGAACCTCACGTGGAGCACTGGCTACATGTTGCTCGTGTTAAAAAATGTGTAGTTTCACTATTGTTCTTGAGGTCTCTCCTCAATATCACTGAAGCCACAAAGAAACTGCTTCAAATTTTCCTTTTTTCTTAAGCCAGAAATTAATGTTGACATTCTGAATTTTTTTTAAACTTGAACCAAAAGTGAACTCGAATTATTTCAGTTATAGATGAACTAGGACTGAGCCAAAAAATTGCTTGTTCAGTTCCCTGATGGAGGAGATTCTCTCCTGAACTTCAGTCATCCTCTTTGAAAACTGGTCAGAATAATGGGAATTAAGTACTGGGGATCAGTTGAAAGAATTTACATCCAAATTGAAGATTCCAATTTAAGATCCAAATTGTTCCAAAAGGCTGAAAATGCTATTGCCAAGAGAGTAATTGCTTATGCAAGATATTGGGAGTGCAAGTGAATGAGATTTGCTTAACAGCCAATGTTGCAAACACCTGCTTAGAACGTAGAATGAATGAATTTCAAGAAAAAGATTGTAAGAAATCTCCATGTCGTCTGAGAAAAGCACTGTGTGCATATTGAAGTGAACCCTGTGACCACCTTGTTATATTCGAAACCTTTTCAATTTTTGAGGGAAATTTTGATTCACTGTGATATCTTTGCATTTGATGATATGTGGTGATTAACCTGACTTAATTAATTAATCCACTCAGAGCACCTTTTTTTTCTGTTTATTTGAAAATCTTTTTTTCTGTTAGTCGTTCTGTAGGGGTAACTGCTTCTCTTGCACTCTTTAGTTCTTTCAAATTCCCATTTCTACCTATTTCCTACATGCTGAGTCATTTGAAGACAGTACACTGGAATAGGTTTAAGGAGGATGTTTCTCATTATCTCTGAAATTTCAAACTTCACCTATGCCTCTGACTTTGGGTTTTTATTTTAACCACTAGAAAATGGATGCCAATTTGACAATTATCCTTTGATATAGCAGATAGTTATTGTTGTTCTGCAAATGGCCCAATGCGAGCTACTGTGAGTCTCTCTGTGAACATAAATGACTCTGTGATATCATCCAGAATTGCAGCTACTTCCCTTTTTATAATTTTTTAGGCTGGACTAACATTCAGCCTATTGTTGCTGTAACACTGTAAACCCCATGGGGTCTTTAAAGCTCCCAGTTCATATCCTTTTCAAGACAAAAAGAAACAAAGCTCACACGTATTTAATTTCCCTCAAGCAATGCAGGTTTCAAAAATAAAAAAATTACAGATTCCTTACCTGTTTTAGCTAACAAGACATAGTGCTATTTCTGGTCTGATGTGCTGATTTGTGTAATAAAGGATGTCAGTAAAATCTATACTTTGCGACATGTACATCACTTGAGAATCGCAGCAATTTCTCTCACAGTATGATTACAGTTCTCACATCAACTCTTTCTCTGTTATTGCAGTAAGGGAGATGGAGATATAAGATCCTGACTACTTGACATCATTGGACACGTTACATGGTTTTTTCTTAAGTAGCATCAGGGTCTCTCAGATTTAAAGTACTTCAGGTTAAGTTACTTTATGCCAACTGATCCATACTAAGTCTATTTGCAAATGCAAAGTAATTTGAATCTGTGCAGCCCATTTTCACTGGTGGCTGAGATAACTTAATTCCCATCAAAACAAAAATCACAGAAGCACAGATTGGTTAATGTCAGAAGAGACAGGAGGTCCCTGAAAAAAATTGAGGATGTGTATTCCAGATCAGCTGTGCATGGTATCTTACTGATGTCTGGTAATTTGCTAGGCCTTGTTCATTTCAAAATGTTGGATAATTTGAAGCAATTAATTAAAATATTTATGCCTTTAGTTTGCCTTTGGGTTTTTTAAGCTTGTTTCGACAGCAAGTTCCTGCACTACATCTTAATCATCTTGATTTCCACTAATAATTCTCTTATTTAGAAATTTAAGTAATTATTCCTTCAATATCCAAAGTGATGTCACATGTTTCTGAGTCTTTTGTTTCTACAGTATTGAGTATGAATGGAGCAGGAAGAAAAGCTGCAAGAAGTTGTTTAGGAAGATACTGTTCATTGAAAAGTAGAGGGAATGGTCATAAGCTGAGACAGGGGAGAGTCAGATTAAATGTTAGGGAAACTTTTTCCCCTATTAGGGTGTTCAGGCACTGGAATAGGTTGCCCAGGGAGGTGGTGGAGTCACCATCCCTGGAAGTGTTGAAGAGGTGTCTGGATCTGATGCTGGAGGATATGGTTCAGGGTTTAGGGGTTCCAGCAGAGTGGCAGGTTAATGGTTGGACTCAATCTTAGAGGTCTTCTCCAACCTTAATGGTTCTATGATTGTGTGATTTGACTTCTGTACACTCTT